GCTACTGAGGCCTCTTTATGACAAATTGGATTTTCTATTTGAACTGAATGTTTGAGCTCATGTGTGATTATGTATGTACAGTATGATGTTGAAATTGTGTTTGGTGGTTAAGTTTATGAGTGTTTGTGTGTGCATGGGAATGAGTTTGTGTGTGTGTGTGTCTGTGTGTGCATGGGAATGAGTTTGTGTGTGTGTGTGTCTGTGTGAGTGAATGTGTGTTTGTGAGTGTATCTGAGTCCGTGTGTGTGTGTGTGTGTGTGTGTACTTAAGTGTTTTGTGCGTGCGTGCGTGCGTGTATTATGTGTGTCTGCTCTCCTACTTAGAGTTAACACAATTTATTTGATAATCTTCATCACGCTATATAAGTGTCTCGCTGCCACGACGTCCTTGCTTCTCTCTTTCTCTCCCACTCTCTCTCTCTCTCTTTCTCTCTCTCTCTCTCTCTCTCTCTTTCTCTCTCTCTCTCTCTCTCTCTCTCTCTCTCTCTCTCTCTCTCTCTCTCTCTCTCTCTTTCACACATTCACCCACCCTTCTCTGTCTGCCTGTGTCTCTCGTTTGGATCAAGAGAGTTAATAATACATTAAATTTGCTCTTGAAATAAAGACAAGATATTTATTTTTAACTATATACAGGTGAGCACAAGGAATATGAAGTACATAAACCATATATATATCATATGTGTGTGTGTGTGCGCGTATGTGTATGCATATATATGCACATTTATTTAGACACACATATTTATAGGCACTGAGTAATATATAATGACAGCAACGTCATCGCGACGCGCATGATGGTATGAGGATGTCTCTGCATCGTCTGACTTTCGTGTTCATTGCTACAACGACGCAATTTACCTGTTTCTCGCTGGCATGACTTACATTAGATGAATCTCTTACAGTTCACTGTAAAATTTGCAATTTCCTGCTTCAACAGCCTTATCGTTGATTTCTACTCTCCTATTCTATAAAAAAACAAGATTTATTTCAGTTCACGAAAAACGTGTATTATATAGAAGTGTATCTAGTGACATATTTTCGTCGATTTTCGACTGTAGTCATTACAAAAATGTATATATTAGCATGTATTAAAAAAAAAATCACCAAAAAAATCGTACTTTTGGATAACAACCAGGCATCTTTATCTGCATCTATCTATTACATGTATATAAATATGCATATACACATATATGTATATATACACATATGAATGCGTATATACATACATATGTGCATATATATAAACATATATACATATATATAGGCACCTTGGAAAATCAATTGAGAGCAATGACATCGCGATGCGCATTGCGGAATGAGCATATTTCTTTTTACATCTTTATCTACATCTTTCGACTACGTGTATATAAATATATATACAGTATATATATGTGTATATATATATATATGTAAGTATGCACATATGATATGTGTATGTGTATGTGTATATATGTATATTTGTATGTATATATGTATATATGTATATATATATATATATATATATATATATATATATATATATATATATATATATATATATATATACATATGCATATAGAAAATGAAAACAATAATATGACAGCAAAGACAGCGGCCGACTTACCAGTTTCTTACATTGACCTCCTCGCTGGCCTGATTTCCCAGTTACTAGTTGGCGTTTTTATTTTCTCCATTTGCACGATTTATGTGTTTCCTCGCTGGCACGACTTCCCTGTTTCACGGTGACGCGACTTGCCTGTTACTCGATGCACTACGAAGACTCGAACTCGCGAACCTGAGGACAGAAAGCCGCCCGCTCGTCGCTCTAACCACTGAGCTACGGAGGCCTCTTGTTTTATTGTTAGATTTTCTATTTGAACTGGAATATTGAGCTCATGTGTGAGTACGCATGTTTAGTATGATGTAAAATTTTGTTTGGTGGGTAAGTGTATGAGAGTGTGTATTTTTGTGAGTGAGTTTGTGTTAGTATGTGTGTGTCTATCTGTGTGTGCGCGCGCGCGTGTGTGTGGATGAATGCGTGCGTCCGTGTGTGTATGTGTGTGTGTGTGTGTGTGTGTGTGTGTGTGTGTGCGTGTGTGTGTGTGTGTGTGTGTGTGTGTGTGTGTGTGTGTGTGTGTGTGTGTGTGTGTGTGTGTGTGTGTGTGTGTCCATGTGCATGTGTGAGTGCATGCAAAGTTCTACAGAGCAACTAACCAAGGCATACCCTGTTTCCCCCATCACCCCAGTCAGGTCAATAGATGGAAAAACCCGAAAGAGGAAAGGAGCCCATGAGTAGAATTCGAAATGTGAGACACATAATTAATAAAAAAAGAGAAAGAGAGAAAAAAAACAGATGAAACAATTACTGGGATCGAAAAAAAACACAATCTAGAGGTTAAAGGATAAACCACTGATGAACAACTAACGACCTATAAAAAATATAATTAAAGAAATTAAGAGATCGAGGGGGAAAAAAATCATATAATCGTTTTTGAGTAACAACCACAAAGACCGTAAAAGATGCATATGTGTATGTATGTGAAGAAGAAACAGAGAGTGAGTGAGAAAGAGATAAATTTTATTTATGTATATATATAAGTGTATCTATCTAACTATATATATAGGTAGATAGATGGATAGATAAATAGATAAATAAATATATATATACACATATAAATGTGTGTGTGTGTGTGTGTGTGTGTGTGTGTACTGCTGTTAGATTGACAGACAAGCAGGCAATCAGATGAAATTACAGATTTATATATAAGCTCACGCGCTCTCGCGGGTGATGTATATGTCTATATATTTATACTTATTCATATAGATAGATAGATAGATAGATATGAAACTTTTTCCTAATGAGGAATTTGGGTACATTCGAAAAGTTATATTAAAAAAATGGTAGTTATATTGTAATGAAATCAATATTTATTTATTAACCCACTAAATCCATTCGTTTTTGCTACAAATGAAGACATTTCTTTTTTTATACAAATAAAGAGTTGGATGACTTACCTGTTTCTTACCTTTTTTTTCTGCTCGCTGAAATGACTTTCCTATTATTCGCTGGCGCAATTTACTACTTCTTATTTAGAACAATTCCCTTTTTCTTCTTCAGCACGCTTTATATGTCCCTCGCTGGTGCGCCTTCCCTGCTTCACGATGACGCGACTTGCCATTTCCTCGACGCTAGCACTTGTGCCACGGCGGCGAATTCCCCTACGACACCTGCGTTTGACTTCTCAAGGTGATATGTCGTTTTCTCGGGCTAGAGGAAGCAGACAGAGCGCAGGCTTTTTTACGACTGCTGCGACAGGGAATAATTCATTGCTGAATTGCCGTGGTCCTCCAAGCATCTCTATTCTGTGAGAGTCTACAAATTTCAGCAAAACTCAAGCCACTGATATCTTTGATATCATCACCATAGCGTGTTTTTGGTCTACAACCTGTTAAAAGATCTTTTTCTAACAAATTGCTTCTCAAAATGTGTCCTACAAATGCCATTTTTGCTTATTTATCATTTTTAGCAATCTTTCTTTTGGCCTGATATTATCCAGCACCCATTCGTTGGTTCTTCTCTGCCCAACTTACTCTCAGTAAGCGTCTGTAGCACCAGAGCTCAAAAGCCAGAATTCGTTTGGTGTCAAGTTTTTGTGACCCAGCATTCTGACCCATATCGAAAAGACTAGGGATTGCAAAAGTCTTTGTTTAGTGTTAATAGAGATGGCTTTGTCTTCCCATATTGATGTAAGGGATATCATCGCATTTCGTGCAAGAGTCAGCCTTTTAATTCTATTAGAATCATTGTAGTTGTTTGTAAACATTGCACCAAGATAGATAAAGTTATCTACATTCTCAATGTTGTTACCATTCGCTTTGATGTTATTGTGGTTATCTCTATGATTATTTATTATTTTCATTACTTTTGTTTTAGAAGCATTGAGTTGTAGCCTGCTTGTAAGCTGGATTCATTTATTCTGTTAACTAATGTTTGGAGTTCCAGCATACTTCCAGCTATCAAAACAACATCATCAGCATATCGCAAATTTGTTATTGTTCTACCACCAATTTTAATGCTTCCATTAAATCCATCTAGGGCTCTTCTCATTATACCTTCAGAATAAATATTGAAAGGGTTTGGAGATAGAATACACCCTTGTCTCACTCCCTAACCGATCTCAAACCAGTCTGTAAATCCATGTGTGGTTCTGACTGTTGCTAACTGGTGGTCATATAGGTTCCGGATGAGTTCAACCAAATGCTTGATGAATCCTATTTAAAGCATTGTTTCCCATAAAACTTCATGCGTATATATATATATATATATATATATATATATATATATATATATATATATATATATATATATATATATATATATATACGCCTATATATATATACATAGGCAGCGAAGAAAATAAAGAGTTAGATGACTTACCTCTTCCTTACCTTTATTTCCTGCTCGCTCATGTGACTTTCCTGTTATTCGTTGGCGCAATTTAGTAATTTGTATGTAGCACAATTTCCTTTTTTTAGCACGTTTTATATGTCCCTCGCTGGTTTGCCTTTCCTACTTCACGTTGACGCGACTTGTCATTTCCTCGACGACACCACGGAGACTCGAACTCACGATCCTGAGGACAGAAAGCCGCCCATCCGTCGCTCTAACCACTGAGCTACGGAGGCCTACATAGAATGTGTTGGATTTTCTATTTGAACTGAAGGTTGAGCACATGTGAAATTATATATGTAATGTATGATGTAGAATTGTTTGGTGGGTGTGTGAATGTGTGTGTGTGTGAGTATGGGTTTGTGTGTGTGTGTGTGTGTGTGTGTGTTTGTGTGTGTGTGTGCGTGTCTGTGTGTATTCATATATATCTATATTTTATATATATACGTATGCATGCAAAGTTTTGCAAAGCAAATAACTAAGCCATACACCTGTTTCACCCATATATGAAACTTTTTCCTAATGAGGAATTTAGATATATTCGAAAATTATATTTAAAAAGTAATAATGTAATG